GACTGAGTCTGCTGACTAATATTTTTTACTAAATCAGGCAATTTTCCAGATTTGCTGCAATCAAGCATGGTCAAATTTTGCGTATCTTCTACGCCTAAAATGAATTTGTTTTGCACATTGTTGAGTCAGTGCGCAACTGATATAAATCGTTTAAAAGATCTCACTTAGCACCATTATTACATCTGATTGGCTACAGTAAAAATTTTCCTTCTAACGATTTGTGCAGCAATGACGTAAAACACCATTCAGAGCACCTAACGCTGGAATGACCTAGTAACCCCAAAATTCATCCCCTCCAAATTCATTCAGTCCCGGAATTACCGCTCCCGTCTACTCCCGAACTAAATATAGCTCAAGAGTCAACGAACTACGTAACTGGGTCGTCGATCCTGCTGTATCCTGTTCCCTGCCTCCTACTTTCGGGGTACAGAATTGTCCACGGCATCACAATCAGCTCATTACTTCTAGCGAGTAACCCCTGCACGTTAGTGGTTAATCGAAAAGGGTGAAAATGGAAGCTCGTCCTATTTATAAGCACCGAATTCAGTAGGCACCCTTGCGAAACGACAGAAGCTTTCAAATTACTCAATATACCAATAATTTGATTAAATTGTATAATGACAATGATAAAACATCATAGTTGTAGCAGCACATTTATAAAGTTCCAAAAATTGTGTTAAATTTAAAAACTGATGATGATATATATTCACACACTATACTGTGCAGCATTCCTGTCTGAGAGAATAAATATTACAATGTTTATGTTATTGTTTCTAATTTTGTTATTTAACGATAATATAAGGGATATATATGTAAAATTAAGTATCAAAACTCTCAACACACCTAATAACTAGGAAAGAAATATGTAGCGTTATTTACACCAAACTTTCTGTCCCTGTGAAGCACAGTCAGGTCCGTATTGATTGTGAAATTCGACATAAATCATTTTACATGTTGTCAAATTTTTTACACAAAGTGTATACAATACACAACTTTTTAGAATTATAATAATAATAGAACTTCTCTAATTTATTTATTCGCCGACATTTTCTACTCATGTACTCATACAAAAGGTGGAATAAAATAGTTTTTGCTGAGTGCACCATATTTAAAAATATATGTATGTACATATTCGTACATGTCCCGATATATTAATAAATACTAAAACAGATCTTGATTTTACAACCATTTTATTTCGCTAGGTAAATAAAACATAAATTTCATCTCAACCGAGGTTGAAAGTAGCATAAAATGAAAATGTGTGAAAAGCGATTTCCTGTCGCTTTGTTGATGGTTGCTCTCAGCGTTTTTTTTTTAAAGTAAACATTTCGGTGGAAATTATGTTTTCCTTTAAAAGGCGTAGAAGCCAACGACCTGCCAGTAGCACTCTCCAAAAAACAAACTTTTTTTAATGTGTTGAAATTGCTTAATCAGCATATCAAATGGTATCCCATTATTATGTATGCGCATAAAGCACGGAAAAAGTTCAAAGCTTTTCATGAACACGAAAAGTATTTACATTAAACGATAAACTCGAGTTGGTCATACGCATGCTGGTGGTTTTCAAAAGGGGGTTTAAAGGTTTCTGCCGGGAATTAGAGTTTTTACATTTAAATAAAGGAATTAATTTAAAGTGGCCCACAAAATCACCTATTATAATTGTAATTGTAATTATTATTTGTACTTTTTTAACAAACTATATATACAGGGTGAATTACTAGCGCGCGGTGCTCGATATCTCATTAATTGTTAGAGATACAACAAGAAGTCAAAAAAGCAAAGTTGTACGGTTCTTTAAGGACTATACACTAAAATTATTTTTAACTATACAGTTCCGTTCAGTTTTTAAGATGTAACACACAACTAAGTTTTTTTTAAATGAAATACACTATATATTTTTATATATTCTTATTAGCTTTGTCCTATGCTTCCCGTTGCCATATTATTCCAATTTTCTTAAAATTTTTTGGCAATAAAAAGGTTCACAAAAGAAATCACAATAGGGTAATTTTTAAAGTATGTCTTACAATATTTTTAGTAAGGATAAATAAAGGTACGCGCTTTGTTGTTGTATTAATTAAATCAAATTTTAACCTATAGAGTGCTGATACAAAATTCTAATACTTTACAATTTTTAAATATCGATATTTCAGTTTTTTTCGTTCTTCAGAAGAAGGAAAACAAAAAATAGAGTTCGATACAGTAATAAAATACAGGGTGTTCTATTTGAAAAAAACTGAAATATCGATATTTAAAAACTGTAAAGTTTTAGAATTTTGTATCAGCACTCTATATGTTAAAATTTTATTTAATTAATAGAACAACAAAGCGCGTACCTTTATTTATCCTTACTCAAAATATTGTAAGACATACTTTAAAAATTACCCTATTGTGATTTCTTTTGTGAACCTTTTTATTGCCAAAAAATTTATTATTTTATTATTATTTAAAAATATCCGATTTGTCTCTTAACAAAGTTAAAAATCGCAGTAACCATCGACCTTAAATACTTAATAATACTTTACAAAGAACGAAAAAACTGAAATATCGATATTTGAAATTGTAATAATATTTTTTATAGATACTCTGCATAAGAAAATTTCATTTCAGTTATACTACAACATAGCGCGTACTTTTATTTATTTCTTCACTTAACACAGATGTTATAAATAATATATAACCCTACTGCAAATTTTTTGTGAACCCTTTCATTATTAAAAAATGTCCAGAAAATAAGAATAACGTGACAGCGTCACATCAGTATTTCAAAAATAAACTGTAGTTGTAAAGCCTGAGAAGAGGCCAATCAAAATATGCAAATATTTACCAAATAAGTAGTGTATCTTACATTCCAAGATACCAAAATAGAAGAAAAATTTTGACATTAGAATTAACTCAGTTAATTAACGTTATTATGGTAACTGCATCAAAAATTAAGTATAAATACATATTTGAAAGAACACGAAATTACGTGTATTCAGTCTTGCCATCCGTTAGTAATCAAGAAGATCTAGCTTAGTAACCCTCTTGCCGGCCTGATAATTCAAACGCGGTGTTTGCCATTCTCCTGTCAGTTATACAAAATGGGCAAATTCGGTGGCCCACAAAATACATACGATGTTTAATTAGAAAAATTTAAAAAAAAGAAGTTACAGCTTAAAAAAGAAAACATTGAATAGTTAAATATAATTTAATAATAAATAATGCAATAATGATCAAACAAGTTTTGGATAGTGTTTTACCATCTACACAATATTCTTAGCATACCTACATATAAAACGTCACAAGAATCACTCCAGTAGTTTCAAAGATTACCGTCTAATAAAATATCGACAGAGACGATATGACGACAACTCGTTGTTTTGAAATAATTTATTTCTGCACTAATTAAAAATTAAAGATGCTGAGAGGTGTGATAGTAATTTATTAAACATGTAATTGTAAATATTATAGACGGTCTGTTAATGTGCTATATAAAGACATTCCGTTCTGTTACATGTGTTTTATCATAGAACAAATTATAGTAAATGTACTGTGTGCACCGATGAACAAATACTGCGACCAGATTAAAATTTTTGATTCCCCGGTACCTAAATTTAAGCTAGAAATTAAGTACTCTCTTAATACGTAATGTCATGCAATACTATAGGTATATTGTAACTCTGAATTCTTCTGGTAACAAAACGAAATTTGGTCTGATTTGATTACTTTAACATATCAATTTGTTTAAAATAAAAAAAAAACTTTTATATTTACCGATATTTACTTATTCATTCTTCCAATGAATGATCTTTACAAACCTAAACAATTACTGTAGATCAGAAATTCTTTGTGACAGAAATATTACCTAACATTGCACGTGAACTGCAAATATGCAGGTGAAAATATCATAATTTTTGATTTTGCTATAACGTGTTCAAAATTCACGTGTTTATATCTTGAACGTTTCACTAAAGCGTCGATTCTATGACGCCTTCGTCTTACGGAAACTTGCATCGATTCCCGCCAACCAACGTGACGTGTTTTTCCTAAACTATTGTAGCCTAAAATGTCTAAATACTGTTGCTGGTTCATTAAGACTTCGTCATCTACTAACTGTCTATTAATAGCTATAAGTTTTCGTTACTCGAAGTTGCACGTGTTTCAGTAACGTGCTGAAAATCCCTTAAGGAAGTCTCTAATGTATTTTTTTTCCTAATTAATGTAAACAATTAACCGAAACGCAAACAACTCGTTCATTGTTCATTAGCACATTACTGTGTTATTAATATTAAAAAAGTACCTGTAGGGTTATTCTTAAATTTACTAAAATCTCAGTAAGGCACATGTAATTGTAACCTGCCACGTGTCCATCTCATTTTCACGAGAATACGTTGGTTGATGTTAATATCTGTGTAAGACGTTGGACCACCTGATCTTGCCGGCTTGTCTATTTTTATAGAAACAGCAGATGTGCACAAATTATATAATCACTATTGAAAAATAAACATTTGAAAATAAGTATCTATAATTTTTCTGATTGCATGATTATGGAAAATAAATTATTGTAGGATAAACAGTATCGATTATTTCTTCAGACGAACATAATAACCCCCGACCAGGGTCAACAAGGTCTATAATATCTAACAACGTAAACAACTTCTTGTCAACACAAACCATAATTGTTAAAGCTATTTTCATTTGAAAAATTGCACTAATAATTATTAATAATAGACATTTGTAAAATAAATGGCCCTTCCCTTCTAGGTAAGTCAATTTTTCTAGAAAATTTTGAGAATTTCATCGGAAAAAACGACAAAAAATTTTAATCTGTAGAGTAAAAGTAAATCAAATGAAAACGCATCTTTCTTCTAACTTGTAAAGGTATTTCTGCTCTAGGGTTGGTGATTTTTTTTCAAAATTTAAATTAGTAATAAAAATCTCTATTAGTTAAAATGCACCTAGTTGACCCAAAAATGATTTCGAAGCAATAAATATGGGTGACAATAAAACTGTAAATCTTGTGGTTTCTAAGTAGACTTGTATTTTACAAAGTTTTTTAAGATCATACTTCTTACAGTGTTTGACGAAACAGAAAAAAATTATATATATCCATATCCAGAAGGATATCCATATCCATATGCATAAGGAGAAGCATATCCCAAAGAGGAATATCCTAATCCGTTGTATCCTCCGTATAGGCCATAACCAAATATCTGCGGAGCAGCTTTAGGAGCAGCAACAGCTAAAGCTACTAAAGCCAGAAAAAGGTACTAAAAAGAAACAATAAAAATGTCATAATGATAACTATATAATTTAGCAACTTACCAGCTTGAACATTGTTAGTGTAGAAATTATTTCGCAATGGCAAATGTCCACGATTGCACCTCGTTTTCTGCATCTTTTATACGCACCGATTTAAATGGGTGTGCCGCTTAAAATTTAAAAAGTAAACAGGAAAATGTCATTATCATTAACGAGTTTTTAGGAAAAAAGTATCGGCAGTATATTAAGATTTATAAGAACATGATCCACCGATGCTTCTTAAAAAACATATCAAATCTCAGTCTAAAAGTCTAAACCTTTATTGTTAAACCATACAACTTGAATTCGTGTATAATTCTCTATAACAGCGCTATGTCTAACATATTTCTTTCAAATAAAAAATAATATTTTACAAGTTTTTGAAGAAAACGTTCAATTGTCGTTCCGACATTTATTTAATACAAGCAAACGATTAAAATTAAAAGCTGCCATAATATACACAGTAAATCACTAAGTGCACGGTCCTCGATATCTCATTAATTGTTAGAAACAGAAAAAAAGTTGCAGTCTAAACTTGTAGCCTTCACTGAGTGGCATACACTAAAATTGTTTCGAAACATAACACATAAATTATTATTTTTTTTTTAATAGGACATATAATTTTACATATACTCATTGTCCTGTTCCTACACTTTACAACCACAGTTTATTTTTGAAATTCTGATATGACATTGTCACGTTATTCCAATTTCCTTCAATTTTTTGACAATGAAAAAGTTAAAAAAATATATATAATATGCATAAAGATCAGACAACTCAACGAAAATCTATAAACTGCAATTTCGACTTAATTAGATCGAAATTAGTGCAGTATATTTCAATGGCTGCCTATTATCCAAAAGTATTTAACCATAAGGGAAGTTGACTACCATTAAAATATATCGTGTGGATGATACCTAATGAGGTCAAAAATGCAGCGTATATATTTTCATTTAATTATCTAGTCTTTAGCTTTTTTAAAAAGCGGGTTTTCGCAAAACAAAAAGGTGAGGCGAGTATAATCCAGCGTCTGACAAGACTCTTATCCAGAAGGAGCTGTTTCCATCCACTAGTTGGTCCAGTTATTAAGTATGCTTTTTCTTCCTCTTCTTCTTCTTCTTCTTTTTCTTCTTTTTCTTGTTGGTGGGTATATTTCATTAATTATCTCACTCATTATTTACGTAATTCATTACTGTTCCCGAAAATTAAAGAAGCCGTTTTTGAGATAATAGGTTACAAATTGGTTCATATCACTACCAGAGCTTAGAGAAGGGTAGTTAAGAAAAATAACGTAATTAATTTTCAGAAGAAGATGAATGTATGTATTTTTGTGAATTTTAAATACGAAGTAATTAAATCATGTTACTGCTGAAAAAAAAATTTTAAAAAATATTGCGAGTTTTGGTGATCTAAACAAATCTGAGAAAAACCAGTACGCATAAAAACGAGGCTAAATTATGAAATCACAGACGTTGCACATTTTAAGTGAATTTTATTTAACATTTTAAGATAACATCATCAATTTTCAACGGTATATTATTAAGTTCATAAGTTTACGTTCGAGGAAAATTATTAAAAAATTGCTTACGTGAATTTGACGTTCACTTTCGTAAACAAAATGTAGGTTTCGATAAGTAGATTAAAAAACCTAAAAAATTAGCCATTGTTGTTAGATTCATTCTGATCAATTTTTAATTTTTTAACATTATAAAATGGATAAAACTATATAGATAAAGACAGATATTTCCAAAACTATGTTAAATAATGAAACTCTATTCGATTTCATGTTTTCCAACACAAAAATTAGTCTTTGAAGACCTATATCTTATTTGATCTCAAGGATTTTTTAAACTATTTTTTCTTTGCTCCATAAACAGGTGTTACAATAGCAACACATATTAATACATAGTGTATTGAGCCGTGAAAAATGAAATTTCTACTATGTACAGTAGTGTGTCTTTGACATCCGTTAATGAACTACAATAAAAAATTACAGTGAACAATGTTAGAATTCTTGCAAGGATTGCACTGAAATGACAAACAATAACCAATATATTCTTCGTAGTTAGCTATTACGATAAATAAGTATCACTTAGTGAGCACTATATTACTTCTATATTATTATTTAAAAGTTGTCCATTATTTAAAACAACAGGTCCTTAAAGAATATTTTTGCTACATGCAAAATAAGTAACATTGACTTTTCGTTTTTTCTGCATCGCCAATAAATTGATATTTGTTTACCTATTAATGTTTCTTGCATTTTGAATATGTAAAAACAAGTTTCTTGCAAATTATATATATGGTACAAACCTGACCCTGACAATAAAAATTAAACTTGTTGTAAAAAACCTGAAACACACTTATGTAGAAATATATGTTTGTTTACATACGAAGTGGTTTTAATAAAGTACAATGCGATTATTGAAAGCAAGTTGTTGCTGTAAGTTATTTTTAACTGATTAAAAAAGCGAATTTTACATCAAATTAACAAATGCTTTCAAAACGTTACATTCGTTAAAAAGATTTTCTTAGCGTTGTACTTGGATATAAAATATAGCACCTACAAGTCAATTTAGGAACATTGGTGGCAGAATTCAAATTTTATTGAAAATGAAGGCGTGCAGTTGTTTTGGATTTTATTATTTTGGAGAACATTTTTGTTTCCATAAAATAATGTTACGCTGATCGGTGAATAAAATCGGCGTGGGTAAAACTCAACAATTTATTTTTCAGTAACTCAAATTTACACGATTAAATATACAGCAATTATGTACAGAGTAACTCCGACTCGACTAGAATGGATTTGATTAGACTCTGCTTCTCCCGTTGTCTGTACTTCACTTGTTGGTTGAGACTGGCTCGTTCCCGAAGGTGACCTGTATTTAAATCCATACACAAACTTCTAGATACTTTGCGATCTAGGTCTTTCTGGAATACCCATCGCGACTTCCGCTTCCAGGCTTTTCTTTAGCGAACGCCGCTCGGCCGCCGTCACCGACGGTGAGTCACCCATCATTGCCGTGTATACTAGAAAGCTCTCGACGGCCCATAGGCATCGTACGGGGGTGGCGTATGGGTTTATTTCGTAACAATAATAAAACCAAATTTGGTAGAAATAACAAATACTGTTTCATTTTTTTTTTTTCATAATGTTTCCAAACGTATGCCATTAACACTGATTAGTATTACTAAAGGTAAAAACAGCTCACTGTAGAAATGTTTCCATAGTTACGATTTTTTGCACGGTTGTTAAACAATTAAATGCACTTTTTCCTCAAAATGTTATGTAATCTAAGCACACAGTGCATCTTTTTAACGCTCAACTGAAAAAGAGGGGTGTTATAACTTATAACTTTGACAGACAATCTGGAAGTGTGTTACGAGGAAAGAAAAAGCAGTAACTGCATATGTAGACTTCAAGCAAGATGAAGTTTTTAAAATGCCAAGTCTTTCTGTCAGTAATTTTTCGTTTAAGAATTAATTGAATACTAGTGTATTGAGTGATTTTTATTTAAAAAAGGAGAAAATTGAAATTTGTAGCGTGATTCGATTCATTTTGGAAGGCAAAACTGCGAAAGAAATCCATGAAAAGATTTTTCCTACATTGGGCGATTCATATTCTTCTTATAAAGCCATTAGCCGTGTAGTTAATGTGTTCATTGAAGACGCACCATCATGTTCTGGAGGACCTAAAACTGCCATCACACCTGAAATCATTGACAAAGTTCATAATAGGTTTTCGGCGATAAATGAATGAAAATGCGTGAGTTATCCGAAGCTAGAGATATCTCAGCTGAAAAAGTTTATTTTATTAATCCCCAGAGAACTGGTGAAGAAATCAGCGCTCTTAACCAGTTTTAGACTTTTTGAGGATGTTTTTAAACATTACACTTGCTTCAAAGTGGCCATAGGGATTTGCATGTTAAATTTTATATCTCATGTCAACATCTGCTTGAGTAAAGATTCAGAATTAAAATCTACACTGGACGTAATCTGGGTCAACCTTTGTCGATTTTATTAGCGGTTATGCTTTAAATTAAAGGACATTTCTTAAAAAAAAAAATATTTGCATATTTTTGTCGGTAATATTTTAAGCAGCCATGGCTAACTACTGTTACGATTTACGGGTATTTAAAATCGGTGTGGGTAAAACTGAACAAGTTATTTCTCAGTAACACAAATTTACACGACTAACTTACACCGCGAAAATGTAATAATGATTAATTTCAACTCAACTTGACTGATACTTATTAATCAACTCGGCTGGATTAGACTAGACTGACTATTCCCGACGGTGGCGGTGGTCCCTATTTAAACAGCCATGCGTTCTTCTAGTCTAGAGGCTTCGCGATCGCCGCTTTCGAGGTTGTTTTGGAGTCACAGGTCATCACTATACATGTTAGAAAAGACGTCTTACCGTGGCGGCGTATGGGTTTACTTCGTAACAATACGTTTATAAAATTTGATTACTCGTTCTATTACTGGTTTTTACGAACCGAAATTCGTTAATATGCCGCAGTATACAATTAAAGAATAAGTGGAAATAGTCACTGTATACTGTATACATTACAAAATCGGATTCATGTATGTTTACAAAAACGTGACCAGAAACGAACGTATTGTTACCTTGAGCGGGCGAATAAAATCGGCGTGGGTAAAACTCAACAATTTATTTCTTAATAACTCGAATTACACGACTAACTATTACAGCGATTATGTACAGAATAACGCCGTGGTGAAACTTGAATGCATTCGTTTACTCGAGTTGTTGACGGGACTCGCTGAATTGGCTGAATGATGCCCTTTCCGGAAGATGGCCTCCATTTAAACCCACATTCCCTTTTCGATAAATCGATGATTCGTAATCGAGCTCTTTCTGGACTCCATCGCGACTTCCGCTTCCAGCCCTTTCTTTAGCGAACGCCGCTTCAGCTTCGAGCGTTTTCTGGACGTCGCAATCGAGAGCGACGCTGCCCGGGTGACGTCATCCACGATGCGTCATTATCGCCGAAATACTAGAAAGCTCGAGAACCCATAGGCGTCGTACCGGGGCGGCGTATGGGTTTATTTCGTAACAGTATAAACTAAGAGACTTCGTTAGTCAAAAGCATTTCTGGATTTGTACTCGTAGAAAAATTCATTCATTTTCAAGTCTAGTACTCAAGCTATCTGTTTTAGTTTGTCTTAATGTAATGTATTTTTTTAACCACGTGCCCTTGAAATAAATAGAAATCCCCTGCATACAGGTAGGTACATGTGATAAGAACCTTATTACGTAACACACATATATGTGGATCTAATCTACAGTTTGTTGCCAGATCCGAATACAATTTGAGAGCTGTTCTAGGCTAAACACTCTCGGTTTGGTGGTGTGTCTTCCGAAAGAGAACGACCGCCGAAAAAATGTGTTTAGGCATAGTTGAAACTCGAATATTAACGTATTAATTTACTTTTAACAAACTACCCCGCATAGTTTCAGTTTCATTTTCCTTTTCCATTTAGTACCGACATGGGTTAATAAACAGGATCATGTCTCTAGGTATGATCTGAAATGCAAAGAATTTTCACGAAGCCAAACCAAAAAAAAAATAATCGAAAGTTGTTTCAACAGAAATTCAGTGACAAAATATTAAATTTAAGTGTAAAATACAAAACTTATTTTGCTGTGCGCAAGGGAAATGCAAAAGAGAGCAAAGCGTTTATGTTACCAAAATACATATAAGTTATGTAACCAAACAAAGCATAGGGTAATTGCCCTAGTAATGGACACTGTCCCAGTAATGGACACTGTTAATTGAAAAAATTAAAAAATTTCATAATTTGCGCCAAAATAACTTATTTGGGTACGCCATATGCTACAGTAGTTTAAGTCGCATATTCCACTGTGATTTGACGTTGCTAGCTTCAGTACGTTTTCTGAAATAGAGAATCTTCAAGTTGGCTGATGACAAAACAGCTGTTTCAAGTTGTCCGGCGCTTCGTTAGTTTAAATCTTGTAAGTGAGCAAACGTTGTGTGTAGTTGCTGTTGAGAACATTTGTTTACGTTTAATCTTTGACCAGCTAAGTTAAAAACAGATTTGTATGGTTGAAAACACATATTTCCTACAAATAACGATTTTTACGGAGGGTGACCAGTATCTACTGAAACAAAAAATTAAATAATGTGTTAATAATGGACAGTGGGATGTCCATTACTAAACAAGAAAAATTCAGTAATGGACACCAGTCATCTGATGCCGATATTGAATTCTTACCAAGTTAAGATTGTTTCTAATTCAGGTACATGTGATTTTCTACAAAAGGGGAATGGAAAAAAAGAAGGAAAAAAACAGAAAGTTTTTTTGCTATTCGGAGGAGAACATGCAAAAGGCTATCCAAGCGGTGAAAGAAAATGGGCTAAGTAAAAAAAAGGCTGCCCAACAGTACCATGTTCCTCTTAGTACTCTAATCAGGAAAATGGCAGGAGACAGTCCATGTTGTAGAAAAATGGGACCTCCATCAGAGTTATTTGAAAATTAAGAAAATGTATTGGTTTCATGGATATTGGCCATGGCGAAAAGAGGATTCCCAGTACACAAAACCAATCTCATCATGTCTGTAAAAAAATACTTGGTAGAGAACCTCGCTATTTAAATAAATCTAAAACACCGGGAAGATCTTGGTTTGAAGGATTTCTTAAACGGCATCCAGAAATCAAACAGAAACATGCAGAATCTTTGAGTAAAGCTCGTGCAGCTGTTACCCAAGACCGTATTCATAGATGATTTGATGAAATTCTAGATTATTTCAAAGAGAATAACCTTCAAGACATCCTTCGTGATCCCACCCGAATATTTAATGGAGATGAATCTGGATTCATGCTTTGTCCTAAAAGTGGAAACGTTTTAGGACCAACCAAATCAAAAGAGGATTTTTATCAAAGAGTATCTGCTGAACAAGAGCAGATTACTGTTATGGCTACATCTTCGGCAGATGGAAAGATAGTACCACCAGTGCTTATCTTTTCATATAAAAAGATGTTCTATGTTTAACTAAAATTTAAAAAGAGTTATAATGTTTTAATCAAATTATTTATCGTACATTGGACCTTTACAGGTGTTATTTTGAAGAAGGATGATCTAGGAGCCGAAATACAGTCTATGACCAGTGCAGGTTTAGGTGTATGGAAGTGGCCAAGCAAAGAGGATATTCTTTATTATTTCAAAGAAGATATTGTATGTGTCATAGACGAGCCAAAGGTTAAAAATACTAGAGGCCATTTTACTGTTCCAGAAATGAATAAATATGAATAAAATTAACATTTTTCCGAGTGTCCATTACTCACCCACAATGTGTTCATTACCTCCGCAACTGTGTCCATTACTGGCACATTTGATGTAGTATCACAATATAAAATATTAAAATAACAATTATTGTTTTACGTAATTTGTTTACAGACTGTTAGAAAGTGCACTAAATAAGCTTTCATCTGGTGTGCTACAAATTGATTTTGACCGAATATTAATAATAATAACATTATTTAGATTTCAAATTTTCTCTTGGGTGTCCATTACTGGGGCAATTACCCTATATCTCAAATTTAAAATTGTTATAACGTAAAGTTTGACCGTTTCTAACCTAACCAGCGAAAATACTGTAAGTATAATAAAAAAATTGCTATGTTTCTTGATATCTTAATGTAATCTTTGAATTAGAAAAAAAAAGATTATACATAATCTAAACAAAAAACCGACGTTGAAAACTCCAAATATTTTAAAAGACCACTGACAGCTTGTACTAGTTTATTTTTCAACTAATTGTACTTTGGTCACGTGTTTGTAAAGATGAATCAGACTTAATCATGATTTTGGAATGAAATTTAATATGTACAGGTTAAAATGAGAATTGATTAGAATGTCAGTGTTATCTTTTCGGTAGTTTTAAGAAAAAAGCATGAAATAGTTTAGTTGAGAATTCCATAAAAAATTGCAGAAATAACTTGCTATTAAATATATTTCTTGTATCCACCAAAACATTTACAACGAAAAATTATAACAACTTTTTAACATAATCTTCTGTTGTAAACAAATAGAGCTGCTCATAAGAGGTATTGCTAGCGCTGTATACTGGGTTATAATTGTAAATCAAGGAATCTTCTTCCACATCACTATTCGGAAAAGTGTGGCTGTTTCCTCTACATTCATTAACAAAGAAATTTCCCAAGTACTGAGCAAGTTCTACAGCTTCTGGGCAGTGCGGAATTCCTGAGGGTTTCTTAAACTCGAAAGGATTTTTTTCAGGATGATACTGAATCCCATAAAATGGATACTTCGTGTGTTCCATTGTGGAAACAAATTCTGTACCATTTATATCCTTGTTTGTAGAAATAATCCTCCATTCACGTAGTATATTATTTTCTTTCAAATCTTTTTCAAAAAGACAGTATCTGTGATAATTATAAGTTATATTTTTTGTTTTTAAATTTTCCAACAATTGGGAAGATGCATTAGAAAACAACCTACACTGCTGATAATCTGCAAAAAAATATATTTGTTAATTTTTTAAACAACACATACGCATAAGTAGGGAGTCTTGGCGAAAACTTCTGCTGGAGAGGAAAGAGTTTTTCTGATGTTAGAGTAGTTATATTAACCATTTCATATACATAAAACTCTAACGCTTGTGTGGCAACTCTTGAAAAAAGAAATATGTATAAATTTAGCGTCATCTTGTAAGTGATATATTTGATAAATTAATAAGCACCTCTCTGCAAATGTTATAAATGATTTTTCAGTTTTTCGTAAAAAAATAGAATAGGTATTGAAAAAATATTTTCCACAAAAGTTTTCGCTGGAACACCTTGAATTTCAAAACACTGTTTAAAAGCACTGGTAAACTAAATTTTGAAATTGTGCTTGTCTATTCCAAAAATATTTTATTTATTGAAAAAAAAAATGGTCCTTTAAACTCTAATTACATCGGTGTTTCTAATACAGGTGATTCACGTCTAATAATAAGCCCAACAGAATGGTAAACTCCGACATTACCAAAATTTTGACAAAGTATCACTTTTAAAATTTACAACAAAAATTGTTTTAATTAATGATTGTAACAACTGCTCAAAGAGCTGCCCACCATTTCTTTCAAATGCTCTAATCCTGTGGTACAATGACATTTTACCCACACTGAATGATCTACTGGTGGGATAAATTCTTTGGCTTTTCTTAATTTTTATTTTCCAAATGTTCCACGCTGTTAATTATTGGAGTTTGATAAATTATTTCTTTACCTGTGCCCCACAGGAAAAAAGTTTAAGATGTAATATCCGCACTTCTGGGAGTCCAAGATTTAACAGACCCTCTCCCAAGCACATGTTAGAGAAGCCTACAGCAAGGTATAGTGTTGCAAGTGTTGGTTCGTTTTTACGACTGCATCCTATTGTGAAGGAGTTAAGTCTTCCACATTAAACCTCTGCCACAAGTAATCCAGCGGTCATAAAGCACCAAGCGACCAACTGTCTACACTACACAGGGCCGTACCGCCCGTAAACCCTTAAGATGATTTATGGCCCGGCTATTTACATTTTCAATAGAGTTCCTAATGCTTCCAGTAATTGAGATTCCGCTGCCATAAAAACGAAGTCAGACTGGGACAACTATATAATTCCCCACCCTTCTGTGATACTGTGAAAGAACACAGTCCTGTTGAAACCATTAATTTTGTCATATTTTCAAATTAACATTTTCGGGCAATAATGGTAAATTAATTTGAATAAAATTTAGATAAGGATTCCACTTTAACATTGTCTCTAAAATTGTAACCAATAATTTAATTCTTTAATTCAGTGAGGGTTGTCTTGGATATAATAATAATAATCATGCTTATTAACTCCACCATTTTTTGAAACATTTGCTTCATCCGAAAAAAACAAATCGTAAAAGAGGTGATTAAACTTTGAACTTTTGGCGTTCTCTAAATAAAATTGCAAACCATTGATCTTTTAGGATGATCTGTGGGTTTCAATTCTTGAACTAATGTTAAACGGAATGGAGGATTTTTTTCCTTTCAATATTCGATACACAGATGATTAACCTGGTCCTCTGGCTGCAGTTCTTTGGCTCACATGAGGATTATTGTTCACTAGTTCCAAAATCGGTATACATCATTTACTGTCATTTAAATTTCTTTTAATTTAGGAAATCTAATTTCACATTACATATTTGTCCTGATCATGAAATTATAGATTTACGTATGAGCTGTTGGTAATTGTCAGTAATATCCAAATCGAAATCTTTGTAATAGAAACGAAAATAAAAATTTTAATTATATAATCATGCTTTTGTGTCTACAAAAATAATTAAACCAAATGTGAAATACAATTTACTAGTTAAAAAGAATAGAAATCGTACATATTTACGAGCCCGGGAATTAAAAATAGGTATTGCTTAGGTAAGGCTGCACCCAAGATCTATATTAATTAATTAAATGTATAGGCAAACATATCATGTAACACTAAACACTGGAAATTAGAAACTGCAAAGAAATGATATTTTTAAAAAAATATACTCCTATAATAACATGCTACAAACTGTATCTATCAAGTAATCGGAAGAAATACTAAACTTATTTCCATTTGTAATCCCATTGGAGTTTAACGTTCGTCTTTAGCTCATATCACAAAATTTAGATATTTCAGAATTCTATGAAAAACTACAAAAAATGAAAACAAAAATAAACATCCACAAATTTTGGTTCATGATATTTTTTGATTTGCCAAACTGAGATGTGGGGTTTTTGAATAAACACAAGACAAAATTTCGCGTTGACCAGAATACATTGTGTTTGTTTAAATGTCAAAGTGGGCGATTTGGGTACATAAAGTTAACGTTCATTACCCACCTGAAACAAATTCTAAAGGTAAAGCAACGTCTTTAGACTGACAGTCTCCGCGAATGTCCTTGCCCAACACTCCAAACATCAAAACCTGCATTCCAAGACATATTCCCCACAGAGGATAATGAACCCCATTCTCATTAGCTTTCACGGCTAATTCATAAAGTTGTTTTGCTGCTTCGCCATAACCTCCAGTTTCGTTAAAGTAAGTTCCTCCTCCGGGAAATAGAATACTGTTTAATTATCCAGCAAGTCTGATGGACTGCAGTAATTTACTCACCCATTTGTAAAATTGACAACTCTTTCGTAATAATCTTCCTCTTGTCCCACCCTACAATCACTCATATTAAAACAAATACAATTTTTAAGAAATATTACCATATCGGCAAAACTCGGGCACCACTACTTTCCAGAATTTTTACGTAAGAAGCTGCGATGAAACTGTGAGCATCTGGATATGCATTTCTTATTAAATATGCTTCTTGTGATAAAATTCCTATGATAGGAGTTTCTGCAGCATTTATGTAAGTTACGATTGATAAAATTAGTAAATACAGAATCATTGTAGAATTTTATCAACTGACATGACGTTTGAAACGAACAAGTATTTAAGAAAGTTGTCAAACTGTTATCTATAAAGATAAATGTTCCACTAGACGGATGTTAAACTTTGTTCCCCGACAGATTTCAATTTAATTACCTACTAATATGTAGATACCTATATGTCAATTGTAAACCATGAACTAAAAATGTAGGATATCCGTAATATAGACAGTAAACTTCAATTATAAAAACAAAAGTTAAAACTAATACCACAACAAAATTATTATTACTGTTGTTAAGAAACAAATATTTACAGTATACTCCTAAATGATTTGACCTTGTCGTTTTCAATACTATGGTATTTATCTTAATAATGTCTTTAAAAATTATCTACACCATTTGTATCATCATCGAAATAAAAGGAAATATTTAACATTTATTAAATTCATGTTTTCAAGGATTCGTTTTATTAATCGTTTATTTACATGCCACTTCTTTGATAAGTTTTGAAAAACTATTATAAGCTGAATTGAGGTGTGCAAACATTTATGTATGCAGGGTGTTCTAACTATAATATCGCTATTATTTTTAGAAACTGACATTTTACTAACTGAAAGTGTAGCATCTAAAAAATGTACATGAGACTGAGATGTAACAGGTACTGTACAGCATTAGCTGTTGTAATTAACTAAAACGTTCGTACTATAGATTTAAAGGCAATATCAGTACGACCATAAATATTCACACATACTCGATTGTAATATAGTCATAGGTATATTAAGCATCTAACCGCTGGAATTGAACACTCATTCACACATTCTATATTTTAAGAATAAATTTGTAGTTTCTTGCGGGGATTTTCAAAGTTCTGACATCGTGAATATTTTTTAAAAAGCAATCCATATTTTTAGCCCAGTTCTAAAGCGAAGAAAAAAACAATGATTCTTAAAATAAAGACATTTCTTAAAGAGTTAATGTACAGAATTAGAAAACCGATTACTCTGAAATTGTAAGTAGTATGCTTTATGATTATCATAAAGATGGTAGTAAGCTGATCACAATTTGTCTACTTACTACTACTTCAAAAAATTGATAAAGTAATATCAAAATTGTATAAATAAACCATATCTGAAATATTTAGGTACACACTCTTTCGCCCGTTTTTTAATAATGCATTCCTACATTTGATACTTTACGTATGGGTTGTTTTAAAAGAAAAAAATTAAAATTTGCACTATCGTAGGTACACATTCTTTTTCTCAGTGGGAGTTCATAAATAATTTTTTTGTCGACCAAATAAGAAAGTAAAACGAATATCGAAAGCCTACTGTAGTAAACTCAGTTACTAGGTTTTTACAAGTCAAATAAGTTTACTATACTTGAACTTTTCTAACAAAATTGGCTCTGGTTCTAAATGAGTATAAATTAAAGACCTCCGTTAGGTACAAAATTTCAAATGCAACTCGACAACTTTTTTTCAAATCATGGGAAAGTGTTCGTGGCCAAACTCAATTTGCTTTAGTATAAGTAACTACTAATCTCCAGTTAAGTTAAATCAGTTGAATACCAACATGATCTCACTAAGGAATTTACGAACAACAAAAATATTGGGATATTTGTAACTGGTTTTAAATTTTTACAATTGTGGTTTGAGGGCAAAATAGAATTTTTTTCAAGATTTAACTTTACTTTTAATATCTCATGGAAAACTGCAGGAATTGTGAAATTTTGTTTTGTGCGATAATGTTGGTGTTAAAGTATCTCTGTTAAGAATACCAGCATCTATAAAATAAACTACTCTGGTATGTAGATTCAGCAGAATTATGATGCCAGATCTATTGGGTCTACTGTACCTATCAATTCTAATCGGTGTTATATACAATTTACTAATTTCACGACTATATAAAGTTTTGTATTGTTGATTATCATTGGACCAATGAAAAAAATAGAAAACCTTTTCAAACACGAAACTGCAACGAATTTAAAGGCAAAATTTTACTATATTTCTTGTTGTCCCTATACTCTTTGTATTCTGTTAGATTTTGTTGAAATTGAATATTTATACCTAAAAGCAGCATTCAGCACTGCTAATGTATGTATACAGTATTCTCTAGGTTTTTTGCTGTTCTGTATCAATATTATTAAGATATTTTTAAAATATGTGTCCAAGCAAAATTTTTACTTCCCAAGCGTAAGCTAGGAAACTATGGTAATAAAGTTAATTTGACTAATGTGAATGGCTAATTTCACTTTTCTTAACGTTTCGTAACTACTACAATATGAAAATATAGATAAGTCTCCCATTTCCTTCTGATAGTCTTCTGTTCGCGATTGTATTAGATGATAGGCAGATACGAGTAGGTAATATCCGAATCTACTAGGCTAATCATATAGGTGGTTAAATTGCTGACACACAGCCAATTTAATGACGTAATGTTAAAAATTTTTCTAGGTAAATCACATATAAATTTTATAGAATGGTATGGTTTTATACTTGTGGTACATTAATTCGCGGTTATTTTTCACTTTGGACGCTAACATTTTTGGAAAAAAGATCAAAGTTTTACAAAAACATTTCATAATAATTTAACATAGAAACTGTGAAACCGAGTACTCTAAAAGCATTTGGTTTTGTAGTTCCTGATTAAATCAATAAAATAAATGTACGCATTCATTAATTTTTTGAGTCATCCTGTATACGCAAATCCAAACTTTTGAGGTGACGTCATCAATTTTTTGGAGGGGACAAGTAAATATATTTTGAATAAAAACTTATTATGCTTATCATAACTGTAAACCATCTGCAAGATTTCAAAGCATTCGGTTTTACAGATTCCAAATTAAATGTCAAAATGTTGTTTCCAACTTTTGATTTTTTTTTACAAAAATCTGGACGTTTCGGGTAAATTCTCAATTCGGGGTCATAAACTACATGTGTAAGACTATGTCATTTGATACAATTTAAAACCCATTTACTAAGTACAATTTTCAAGTGACGTCATCACATTAGTGGTGGGGATGATTAATGACAAATTTTGGTTAGCGTTTTACCATCTACATGATATACCTAATATAAATACAAAATTTGACAACAATCGGCCCAATACTTTCGGAGATTATCTGTCTAATAAAAATCTAGGACGGCAGACAGACGGACAGACAGACGGACAGACGGACAGAGAGGCGGAAACGAGAGACCTATTTCTTCGTCCTCTAGGGGTCATGATAGGTCGAGAATGCAAAAGTAGAGATTCGGCCGACGGACTCGATTACAATACTTCCTTTGCTTACGCTCGGGAAGTAAAAATTTCGAAAAATGCCTCATGGCCTTGCTAAAACAAATACAAGCAGCATTTTTATATTAACAATAAAACTGAAGCCAGTACATTTTAGATGAAATAACCTTAGACCAATTTTTTTAGATGAGAGCATCAGTTCTTTGAAGGGGATAATGTACAAAATTTTTGGTAAGTACGTTTAAAAGAAAACTGTAAATTTTCATTCGACAAGTTTGTTTAACGATAACCCGTACGTATACGTAAAGTTAAAAGTTTTGAGTACGTCACTTTATTAAATCTCAAATAAAGGAACATACAAGCTACAAATTTCAAGTGGGATTTACTTGACTAACATCAATTCCTTTTTTAGAGGGGATGGATAAGTACACAAATTCTGGTTAGCCTTATCAGTCTACATAATGAAATTAAAACACATCTAAAATTTCAAAATAATCGAAGATATTTTTTAACAAAATCGCCAAAGAAATAGAAAGAGGAGACCGACATTTTTGTATTCCACAAACTGAATCTGAAATCAGACATTCGTCAAAATGCTTCCATTAAAATTTTCCCCTATTTTACGCTTGAAAATGAACTTAAACCCAAATCTGTGAAAGTTGATCAAAACGTAACATACAAACAAAACTTGGTTCTAACTTTATGTGAAACTTTGTTGTTCTAAAAGTTATTAGTTACCATTGCTGATAAAACGAACATTTAAAAATAACAAATTGCACATTCACTTGGCCGCAAAATTTTGTTATAATAGATATGTATAAATTTAACACTGGGTAACTGGAGCATAAATAATAAAACTAAGAAGAAATACAACCACAAAACGCCAAAATCAAGTAGGTACCATGATGATACTTTTGCTGCAAACTCAGCTAGCAACGTAAATTTTTTCCCTGAAATTTTGACACATTTTAACAGTAAGTAAAACACTCAGTCACACTATTTAATACTATTACTTTAAAAAGGATTGTATTTTTATTTTGTTCAGTGTTCAGCGAACATAGTATTTTTGCAAATGCCTAGTTATGTTTTCACCAGATTTTTTTTGTATTTTTCCAGTCCGGACCTGCTCTTAATTTCTAAACAATCACTTAAACATTAGACATTTTTTTAATTTTACCGAAACTAACAAAACGTGAGCCATTATTTTTTTCATTTGTCGTTTAGACATGGAATCTTACGAGGCTTAAGTGCAAGGGTGAACAGCAATACTTAAATAATAATTACAATAAATGGATTATTGCACTCATCTAGACTAATAAATTGTGTTTTTAAACTTGCGACTAACTAGAATTTTTGTTTGAACACGCTTCCTCAAATATCAAATTTATTATGGATTTTCTATTTAAAACTTCACAAAATTTTAATGCCGGTATACATTTTACAAATAGAACAAATGGGAATATTTGTGTTAAACAAATTAAAATTCAACTGTAGATAATTTATACTCTTTTTATTATCATGAAGATAATTTTTTCAAAGTGAAAAAAAATGTTTTTTTGTGTTGAATAAATATGTAGTTACATAATGGGTAAGAGAATTCTATAATTTAGAGTTACACACCATTCATTGTTATATATTTTTATAGTCTTTAAAAGAGCTTAAGAGTTTAGGGCATAGATGAAAATACCATTTTTAGCTGTTACAAATGAAGATTATTCTTCATATATCACACAGGAAAGACTAAAAAAAACACTGATCTAGCATTAAATGACAGACGTCACTGTACAAGACAGGAAAAAAAAAACAATCGACGCCTGGCGTCGCAGGATTGCCAACCAATGCACGACATCAGATGGTGTTACGGTATTTGTTTAATTTGCTATTCTGGAGAAGGTTAGAGAACTTGACAGATTTGTTTTTAGAGAGGTTATGGTCCATGAATAAACGTTGTTCTGTTGTGCGTTTTGTCATATAATAATAATTGCACATTTCACAAATTAATAAGTATTAACTCATAGTTGCCACATTATTTACATCTATTCAGTTACAAGGAGTCACAAGTTTACTTAGAAAGTGAGGTTATGACGTCAAGTAAATTAGTAAAATGTTTCGTTTAAGAATCATTTCCCGCTTGACTTGTAAAGGACTAGAAAGATGCAGAAAATTCGAAGGCAAACGGCATCAACATGTTCTAATTTTAAAAGGGTCACAGATTGCACCCTCAACACTAACTTGCAATGTTAAACCATTCTCCCATGCTTCGGAAACAACATTAGAAACAGAACAAGAATATTTAGTGCGTTTAAAAAATGACCCTGACACCTTTGGAGACTCAAGGGAAAAAGAAATTTCTCATGAATCAGATTTAAAAGAAGAAAAACACTTTGAGGAACAGGTATTACCTTCTCAAAAGTCAACTACGAAGCAGTATGCAGATGTAATAAAAAGTTTCATTAGAAAGCGGAAGATAAAAGAAGCCATAGATGTTCTAGAAGTGAAAATGCTTCAAGAAGACAAAGTTAAACCTGAAAATTATATTTATAATTTAGTGATTGGTGCTTGTGGACGAGTGGGTTATACAAAAAAAGCATTCTCTTTGTACAACCAGATGAAAAAACGTGATTTAAAAATTACAGGAGGTACTTACACTGCTTTATTTAATGCTTGCGCTAATAGTCCTTGGCCAGAAGATGGATTATCGAGAGCAAAACACCTTCGAAATATAATGATAGAAAAAATGTATGAACCTAACGCAACAAACTATAATGCAATGATAAAAGCCTTTGGTCGATGTGGAGATCTTACAGTAGCTTTTGCTCTAGTTGATGAAATGATGATTAAAAAAATCCCAATCAAAGATGATACAATTAATTTCCTATTACAAGCCTGTGTTCAAGATAAAGAAGCAGGTTTTAGACATGCATTGTTAGTGTGGCGAAAAAGTATAGAAAAAAATATCCCACCAAGCTTGTATACATACAATTTAATGTTGAGGTGTATAAGAGATTGCGGAATTGGTGATGTAGAAGTAATGCAAGATACAGTCAACACATTATTGCAAAACAAATCAAGCAATGTAAAATTTCTTCCTGAAAGTTCAACTAATAGAAAACTTATTCAACATTCATCTACACATGAAGGCGTCGTAAATAAAGACTGCAAAAATGCAGAAATTCCCAATAATGCAGTAGTAAATAGTAGCTTCGATCTTGATGTCTGCAGGCCAAATCTTATGGCTAAGTTGCCGCATTTGGGAAATATTGTCTCTTTCTCTGAAGTAACAAGGGCTGAAGATCGATTACTACTTGTTGGCGGTTGCAAAGGTTTTTTAAATAATATGGTAGAACATAAATGTGCTCCTGACATTAAAACATTTACTCAGCTCTTAAACTGCCTACCTGGAAGTCTAGCGGCAGAACTGGAATTAGAAAAAATCATGAGAAAGTTTGATGTGAAACCAGATATTGACTTTTTTAATATGTTAATAAAAAAACGTAGTATGAGGTTTGATTATGATGGAGGCAAGGTAACTGCCAAGACTTAAATTATTGTGTTCTTTACAATTTATTTCAATTTTAGCAAGTACTAGAAGAAATGAAAAAATTCAATTATAGACCAGATCTAATTACATTTGGCGTTTTATCATTAGGATGTAAAACCAAGGATGAAGCTTTACAATTATTAGATCAGATGAAAGAACATTCATATAGGTCAGTTATGTAACGTATTGGTTGACGTGTCATAACCTTTTTTTTTTATTTTAGACTAAACACAGAAATTTTAGGAGCAATGTTACACCAAGCATGCCATCATAAGAATTTTGCATATGTCCTAGAAATAATGGAAATCAGTTTAAGAGAAAATATAAAACCAAATAAAATATTTATGCAATGTTTACAAGATTTTAAAAAAATTTGCAAAAAAATATCAAATGATAATGTAAGTTCTTAATTTATTTGGATTATATAACTTTAAACATTTTCCTTTTTAGGAAAATAAATTGTCTCAGAGTCAGTCTTTTCAGAAAGGTCACAGGATATTTCAAATGAGATACAAAACTTGGTTGGAAGAAATAGAAGTGGATGATACTGAGGACATTCACCCATGGGCTCAGTACAGACAAACAACTGAGACGGACACTAGGCACTATAAAGATAAATCTCACAGATTTAAAGCAACGCACACATCGCGATTTAAGGTTAAAACATCTACAAAACGTAAATATAAAAGATAAAAAGAATTCTGTCTACCTTTTTTATACCTTTCTGGCCTATGAGCCCTAAAAACAGACATTTTTACAGTAACTATAAAATCAACGTTTGTTATGCACTGAACAACTTTTACTTATCTGGCATTGTAATACATTAAATATTTAAAATTCATGTGATGACAACATAATAAAGTGCCTAATTAAGTCTAGAAACATATTAACTTCCTTTACATTACTGAAACTACAGTGAATGATTAATACTTCGCAAATTTTAATATTTAACGAAAAGCGATAAATCATAACAAGAATTTAGTGATATCAGTAAGAACATATTACGGATTCTGAAACTACGTTTTTAAAAGTAATTTGTTATTTTAACCAGCAGTATCTATAGCAAAATGTGTTTTTCTGTATTAAGTTATAAACTCTTAATTTGTATTAAACAGAAAAAACAAAAAAACGATATGATTGTTCATTACCATATTTTAACTCATTATTTTTCTGATAAAAGTATAGTTAGGGATATGTTTTGAGGGTTATAGAATTAAATCATCTCAGAATAATAGTATGTATAAAAATTCTTGTAACCCAAGCGCCAAGTGTAATCACAATAAAAAAAAGTGCATATTTATTGTTAAAGGGGCACAGCGAAACATTTTTCACGAACATTTGTTAAATTTAACAAAAGATATTAGAGAAAAATTACGTTGCCGCAACGTTGGCCAGATGCATGAAGTAGAGTGCTACTGATGAAATTCTTCGTGGCAACCGGAATGTAATTCAACATTGCATTTCTTGCACAGCGATTGGAACAATTATTTTTAAAAATTAATGCATTACTGTAACAATTACTTTTTGCACTTTAAAAAATTTGATGAAGACACAATTTTATTTTTTGTTGTATGGGTCCAAAGGGTCAAGAAAAAACGCGTTGGAATGAAATACGCAGTGAGTGATTTATTTTACTAACGCATTTGTTACATATGCACATCAGTAAATAACATAAAACAAATAAATACTTCACGCAAGAGGACTATATTCATAATTTAAATTCAATTATAGCTGACATTCAAAATTTTCTTCAGCTAAGGCATGACGTTTTGTCTTATAAAAACATCCGCGCCAACACTAAACATGTTACATATTTTACCAAAAATTGAAGAGCCGATTCTTTTGTTCCTAATTTCATTCCACTCTAGCTAGAAATAAAAGTTCAATGCCAACTGCAACAACTTTTAAACAAAAATTTGCATTGGTGGGAGATTTCAAAATATCTTATTGGCTACGTGTAAATGTATCGTAAATATTAGTCCACCGATAATTACCTGCGAAAGCAAATCTTTTAATCTTTAATAAGAAGGATGTTCCTAAATACTTAGAAGGGGGCTACAAGATAATGTAAACTTAAAAGTCTGTCTTTAACTGCCCCTTGGCGTTGTGACTTACAAATTTAGAAAACCTTAAAGGGTGGACAGTTGGACACTCATAAAATTTTATTATCGGATTATGAGGGGTTTAAAAGGACGGGCTCTATTAGTTACCTGTTATAGATTTGAGTGGACCAGAAAATGACTAAAATTTGTTTGACCACAAATTTTAAATATTCTGCCCTTGCCCAATTATTAACATATTTTATTTCTGTAAAGCGCGTTTTAGATTTTAACTCCCTAAATATTGGGTTAATCTTCTCTTTATTGGGACGAACCAGGTAAAATATAATTGTCTCAGCAGTTCAGGTAAACGATTCGTAGAGAAAAACAAAACAATATTTTTGAGTATTTTGGTTAAAAGTAATTGTAAAGTGACTGAATTACTTGAAAAAAGTAATTCCTTACAATTACTCATTAGTCATTACTTGAAATGGAATTGAATTACAGTAATGAATTACTTCCAACCACTGATCCTACACAATCTTCGCGGACCTCTTTTGGTGCTGGGTTCCTGGATTATTGTCACGTAGAAGCAAAATGCACCCTTGTAACTTTTATGTCACCTTTCATGACGTTATGTTTAAATACTATTTAGAAAAATGGTTTTTGTAAAGCTAAGAGTCTAATAAGGATATTGTCTCGAAGTAGAATTCTTTTACACGGACACTACATTTTACCATTGTTTAAGTATATTATATTAAACAATGATTTTACCTAAAAATAAATAATAAATTGAACGTTGCATATATTCAAAATTGGATCTCTCATGAAGGGAAACAAAATATCATTACACTATAGGTACATAGTAATACCCATGAGTCTTATTTATTATGTCTCCATACTAAAAAGTTATACAGTTTGGCAAAGTGGAATAAACTTTTCGCCAGGTAGGTTGGACTGAAGCATTAAGGGAATCTACGTCCATGGACTGAAGTATTTCCATATTTGTGTGAACATCTTTTTTTTTTCCTTTTGATAGATACGTTTAACACTGTCCATTGAAGTGTGCTTTTGCTAAATGAAGTACATATATCCTGATGTAGGGTCACTCATGAATACTCAATCTCATGTTTTCTTATTGGCGTTTCACTTTCTGAAAAATAAGCAGATGTTGGTATCCCGTTTCCACCAGTCTGTTAATGTTATTAATTATTATGAAATTTTAATACACTTTGAGAATACCGTAAAAATGGTAAAACGCTAAATTCTTTTACAAAAAATGTATAATCCTCAAAAAGCTCTCAAATATAATTAGTGTATTGTTTTTTGTTTCTACTAACTACTTTCAATTTAAAAAATGGGTCTTGAAAACTGAAATAACGTTATTTCAGTTATATGTCGTTTTTATTTATTAAAACTGCGTAAGTACACATAATTTTGAGAGTAGGTATATACCGGATGTAGAATCGTTTTTGGAACAGAGGGACTTTACATGTAAAAACAAAAATTAGAAAATATTTTCTCCTCTAATTATTTTAGATCAACACGTTGAATGCATCTAAATTACTCTTTATTCTTTTTATAACAACTTATGGTATTAAAATAAACAGGAAAACGGAATTCACAATTAGAATAAAGTAGTACGAGCGATGACATGTATCAATCAAATAAAATTTATTACTTTGATATTTTGGTTATTTAGTTCAAAATCATTATTGTGATTTTGAGCCCAAAACAAACTTTAATAAGACATGCTTTAGGTACAACTACAATCAATACACTAACTTAAGATTAAATGTTCAAACACATGTAAACTATTGTACGATTCTTTCGATTGTTGATGGCCTTAGAATTTGTCGATCTGGACAAAGTCCCTGAAATTTCCCGGACTGACTACCCGCCGTAGTACCCTTTTACCCAATTAACTTTACAAGAACAAATGGCGTAAAATTCAGTAATTAGTGACGTATTTATGTATTGTTAATGAATTACCACATTTCATGGCTAGTAGCTAGTACTATTTTATTACAAATCGCATTTTTTAGGCGACAGTCATCATACTAAACGTAGATCAAAATTATTAACTCATAAGTTACCTTATAGATAGTTAGTATCATTAACAACTTAATTCTAATGACATTGTATCTATACAACGTCCTTGCGAAAAGATGTCTATGTGATATGTACAAAATGAATATACTCGTATATTGAAAAAAAACAACAGTTTGGTTGAGGTTGCTTTACATTTTAATGTGATTATTAATGATGAATGGTTACAAAAGTTCAAAATAAACACTTACAACTTCAAGTTATGAAGTTTTCGATTTAAATCTTCAAACTTCAAAATTTTTCTTATAAAGAAATCGCCGTATCTATGTGCAACCTTTGTATCGGCGATATGAATCATGTCGTTGTCAATGTAGAAGTCCAGCTGGAATAAAAATAAATGTTAATTCTGTTACCAGAAGTAAATATAATATTCATTTAATCATAGAAATAAATAACTCCATCAAATTATATCAACTACAAAAAGTATTACCTCTGAGCCACTTTCCAGTTTTCCTTCCAAACCAGAAGATCCTTTTGACCAAACGACATTCTTCATTTTATGTTTGAAGCATAACAAGTGGATCAACAAACTTTGTGTCTCTTTATTGACATCAAATTTGCCATCATTGTTCTTATTTTGGGCCATAAAAGTAGCTAGCTTAGCAATGGGCAAAGTGGTATACAATTTTAAGTAACTTCTAATAGTTGGCAACATTTTTTGTTGCTGTACTTCGTCCATAAAAACTTGTGTTTGATGGCGAATCGCTTCCTTTGAGTAATCATCTGGTATAGAATCGACAGGAGGGGGGCACGGTGACAAGAATTTTGGACAAGCAAAAATAAAGCAGTTTTCAAATTCTTGAAGATCTCCATACTGCATCTTGTACATCTTTTCATGGTAGCTTTTTTCTCTTAAAGTTTGTTGAATTGATTCATCAATGCACTGAGGATGAAGAACTAAACAGATCGCCAGTAAGTGATACATCTGATCAGTCTGTTTATTTATCTGATCATGCTGATAACTCTTAGAAGCAAAAAGTTGTTTAGTACGTTGAATATACAACAGAATTGATGAAAAAGTGCGTATAGCATCAGAATATCTTCTCATCATCATGTAACCAAAACCTACATAATAGGAAGTAGAGATCAAACAAGCCGGAATGTGGGCGTACTGCGATTTTTTATGAATCTCGATATTTTCCAAAACTTTAATTGATTGATAGTAATCTCCAAGTAGAGAATGAAGTCTCAAAAGTCCAATCAACGAGAAGTAACCCAACATCTTATAAAGTGAGTGGCTGCCAAACTCTCCAGCAACTGAGTCAGGATCTCCACCACTTGCACATACTTCCAACTGCTGCTTGATGTTACTTTTGTCGACCAATGAATGTAGTACATTCAAAACGCAAAGCACGTTCCATACTTTGTTATTGGAGTTCAACGTTTCTAATTCTTGGGCAGTTTTCTTTTGAAGGCGTGCCCTATATTGTGCGAAGGATTGAAACTGGTAAACAAATTCATCTATCAGTTCCCACAACCACAAATCAGGAAGCTCCAACGGAACTGGGACATCTGCACTCAAAATGTAGTTAAACAAATCGCAGTAGTTGTAAAATGAATTAAATCGCTGTTCGAGCGTTGGTCCACCTTGAATTCGAGCGTAGATATGACGAAAATATAGTTCTTTATAGAGAATCATGAAAACCTGCAAAAATATTCTTTATTACAAACGTGTTATGTTTCATAAGTAAATAAAGTAATATGAAAATAATACATATTAAACGTGAGCACAGTACGTGTTTAGTAGTTTGATTTGTCTTGAATAAACACTAAACAAATCGACCGAAATTGGCTACCTACTTTTTTCCAATAAAAAAAAATTGACAACAACCGGTCCGGTAGTTTTGAAGATTATCTGTGTAATAAAAATCAACACAAACAGACAGACAGATGGAAATGCGAGACCACTTTTTTGGTACTCTAAGGGTCATGAAACGTCGAAAAAATATGAAAATGGCAATGTCGCCCGATGGACTCGACTGCTATAGTTCTTTAGCTTACACTCAGGAAGTATAAATATGAAAAATGTACATATAACCTTCATAAATGAGTTCGTAAACCAGGTGATCAAAATCTTAAACAACGGTTCAACAAAGTGTTCATTCTGTCAATGTGTATACTGATTAGCCTCACATTCTACTGATGTTTCAGTGGCATTTATGGACGCATTGAAAAAATCCCTCAAAAAACTAACAGTTTTCCTATAAATGCAAAAAAATCCTGACTGACATGGGAAGTTTAATACCCAATAATAATTTTTTTTCACTAGCATCCATGACGCATGCAAATGTCGACTCATTTAGTGGTAGCAAATTCAACTTTTGCGACCACCGGTTCAAAAAGAAAAACTGAGGTTATGTACGCAATGTTTGATGTGATTATTTCTTAAAAAATGAACAAATGTGTGCTACAAACATTACTTGAGTATACGCATGGTAGTTGGTAGACGGTAGAAGATAAAATGATTAACTCAGCGACAAGTATAAACGGTTTTCTTTGTGTTGAAGATTTAGATTAAGTTTGACTAGAAATCAAAACAAAATCATGTTGTGTCAAAAAATTGAACGTTTATTTTTGCAGTTTATTGTATTATGGTTTCTACTAGTGAAAAAAAAAAGTATATTAACCACGGTTGCAAAGCCACTTCTAGACCTCGCGCTTCAGAGCCCTCGACGCTGCGCGTCTCGGGTTCTAATTTGCGCTCGGTCTAGAATACTTGGCTCTGCAACCTTGGCTAATAATATACTATTTTCAACTGATTTTTATGCCAGGTGTTGGTCTTTCAGAGGTAAAGAAATCATCCAAAATTCAATTAACAAAATTATAGCAAATAATGTGCTGGCCGCTATCCAACAGATGTTCTATGGGGATGAGATCGGGAGATCGAGATGTCCAAAATTCTGTGGGCAATATGAGGAGGCGAACATTGTTGTGTTGAAAAAGTACATCCTGAATGTTGGGAAGTAAACCGGGCTGTAGGATATCGTCAATCTAACGGGCTGCTGTCATATTGTACATAAACTCCATTATTCTTAAAGTAATTTCCAGAAATCACTTTCAACTTCTTTTAAGAAGGTGGCATTTTTCAAACAACAAAAATACTCCAGCAGGTGATAGGTTGTTCAAAATAAAGCCGTTGTTATATAAATTACTTACAAAATTTTCAAACGACCTATATTTCAGGTGGATGAATCAATTATCCCTTTCCAAGGTAGACTTGTTTTAAAAACGCAAATTCCATAGAAAACACACAAGTACGGAGTAAAACTGTTCAAATTGTATAGCGACAACGGTTATAGATGGAATATGTATTACAATTTATACTGGGAGAGAACAAAATATCGAAAGTATAACTGTTCCAACAAATATCGTAATAAATTTCGCACAAAACTTACTGTAATCGGTTCGCACCATTATCACTGATAATTATTATTACTCTAGCCTTGAGCTAACAAATATTCTACTTACTAAAAAAACACATTACATCGGAACTTTGAGATCTAATTGTCAGAGGAACCTCAAAGAGGCAATTAAAAAAAAAATAAAAAGAGGAGAACTTTTTGGTTTAGAAAATAAGTGTAGCATATGTATCATGAAATGGCGAGATAAAAGGGATGTTATACGCTTATGTACCAAACATACCACTGAAACAATAGATATTGAAGGACATGGAGGTACAATATAAAAACCCACGGCTATTAGGCACTATAACCAAGTATACTCGACTATAGACCTAACAGATCAAATCTTTGAAATGGTATTAGCCGTTGAATTTTTACTCGATACATTGATTAAATACATATAGATAGACCCATGCTATTGTTTGGAGCGAACAGGCCAACGGCCGGCGAACAAGAGATGGCGCACCAACAGTCGGCCGTCAAACGCCGGCGAAAAGCTTGGACACCAATCACGCGCATAGGAAACACAAATCACACCAACAATACATTTAATAAATCTACCACTCGATAGAGGGCGACGAAAAAAATGTGTAAAAATCTCATAGTCAACATTTAGATACTTTACAACGTTGCCAGATGAGTCTAACACAACTTTGCCGTTATTTCTATTCGATTAGATTTTATTTCGTTTAAAAGTTTCTGGTAAATAAATGGAATTATTATAATGAATAAACAATACAAACAAATTATTACTTGTTATTTTAAATACTTGTTAGTGTTGATGAAAACATAAATAGTTATTAAAGTTATTCTAAATAGCTCAAATTTTACAGTACGAGTGGGATGTTTCAGGACGAGTAGGTAGCCGAGTCTTTTCGAAACGAGTACTGCGAAAAGAGTTACCGGACGTTTGTCGTTATGGATTTTATTTCATACTGTCAACATATTTTTTTATTCGATAAAATTATTACTATTTTGAGAAAAAGTTCAAATCGAGTCACTTTTTGTGACATCGTTAGCAACCGCTGTTTGGCAAATGTTTTAATTTGTTTATTCGTGCAAGTCAGCATCATATGTTTAAACACATAGTATAACACGTTACAGGACTTATTAGCGTGTTTGCGCAAAACATTTTCTTACAAATTTTTCCTTATGCTTACACTTATCCTTATAACTTATGTCTTTTATGATTATAACACTCATAATCGTTACATCTTATATTCACAACAATAGAATTTTTTTACAATGTCAATCAGTGTCATTTAGAACTCTAATTATGTCGCAACTGAAAAAGAAACTCTTTTTGTATTAATTGATACACTGAGTAGTTCTGAACATCTTCTATATTGCCACAAGTCGCCAAAATTTCTAAATATTTGATGTGCAAAATTAATCAATTTATGTGCCAGAAAGTCAGTTCTGCTTGCCAATGTAAGGTCCTAAGCCGTCAGCATAACTGTTACAATTATACTTATAACTATAATTATAAATTATAAGTGTAAGTATAAGGAAAACTGTATAAGAAACGGTTTTGCGCAAACATGCTATTGTTTTGTATAATCCGACTCGATGGACCAATGTTTTGTGCAATCCGTCTCGAAGGACCAATGTTTGTGCAACTCGGCTCGTCCTACCAGTGTTTTTTGTAATCTGGTTGATACGACAATGTAATAACGAATTGTACTTTGATATTGCTCGAAGGACCTTTGTTTTGTTGCGTGCGAAATAATTGACAGCGTTCGGTTTCGATGTTTAAAGGTACGTGTCCACTGGAGAGTGACTTGGCGAGAATTCGCGAGAGTTACTTTCAAGGGCTTGTCGATTTGAGAGGATATTTTGGCAAATTTTGCTCGCCGATAGATGTCGATCAGACAAAGCTCTCAAAACCCTGTCCACTACACAGTTGCACTTGCGAGGAAAATGGACCCTCTTTACTCGAACCGACAAAGAATTTATGATTTTACGAGCCTTTTGTTAATTTATTTTTCACGAAATACGGTAAAATATTGCAGCTGTGAAAACAGGTAGTAAGAGGACATAAATTATTATCTGGACCTAAAATTGTGCTAAGAAATACGCAAATGCACGATGCTATTTCTATTCATGAAAGAGTAATAGTAACATTACGATTTTTTTGTATCAGGTACATATGTAAAAGTATTATGTAAATCATTGAACAAAATAAGGTGTTCTCCATAGGTTATGTCACGTACATTTTGGGGTTTTTGGACCTTTCTTTTCTGTGTCACAGGTTGTCACATTCATATGATCCCACCCTCTATTATAATGTCATATAATTTTAATGTAGAGTTGATTTTGATTAAATCAACATTGCAATTATTACTCTTATTTAATATTATGTAAAATCTTCTTTCCACATATCTCTTAAAAATGTAAAAAATTGGTCGAAAGTTGTTTCGACAGAACTTCCCTCGCACCGAAAGAACTATGAAACATATCTAACATTTTCGAGTTGAGTTTTTTCTTTACACAATTTTGTGATGACGTCATCAACATTTTTGCAAGGTCACGTATATCAACTTGGATTGGTGCAGTATAATACTAAAAATAACAGTAGATGAATATGAATGCAGTGATAAATCACAATTAAAAACTCAACATATTTTGCACACTTTGGATAGAATTTATTCTGAAAAATTTTGAGATGACGTCATCAAGTTTTTGTTGGGAATAAACATATATGTTTTGATTAACAATTTACCACGCTTACAATAACCTTAAAACGTCTGGAAGATTTCAAAGTACCTATTCAGTTTTGCAATTCTTGTGTTATTCAGGAAACTAAAATCACGCATTCATTTTTTTTTGAGTCGCCCTGTATAAGCAAATCTAAAAAATATGAACACAATAATAAATTACAAGTATTATACTGATCATATATATTTTGCACATTTCGGGTGGAAATTATTCGGCAAAATTTTGAACTGACGTTATCAATTTTTTGGAGGGGATAAGCAAATATATTTTGATTAAAAGTTTATTATGCTTATCATAACTTTAAAACAGCTGTAAGAATCAAAATTAAATTGTAAAATGTTGTTTTATGTTTTCTTTTCCAAAAATCTGGAATCGACCCAGTACTTTTGGAGATTATCTGTCTAATAAAAATCGGGACGGCAGACAGACGGACAGACAGACAGACGGAAACTAGAGACTTATTTTTTCGTACTCTAGGGGTCATGAAAGGTCGAGAAAACGTAAAAGTAGAGAATGGGCTGACGGA